ATTCTGTCTCTATAATAATCTCCCTTTTCTGGACCACTTTGCATGATGTTCTTGAGATTCATTCATGTGAAAGCTTGTGTCAGCAGTTCTTTATTTGTTATTGCTGAGTAGTATTCCATTGTACAGATATATCATATTTTATCTGTTTACCAGTTGATAATCTTTTAGATTATATCTACTTTTAAAAAAAATTTTTTAGTTGCCAATGGACCTTTATTTTATTCATTGATATGTGGTACTGAGGATCGAATCCGGTGCCTCACACATGCTAGGCAAGCGCTCTGCCACTGAGCCACCACTCCAGTCCCTTATATCTACTTTTTTACTATCAAGATTAATGCTGCTGAGCATTCATGTACAAGCATTTTGTATAAACATACATTTTTCACTTAGTGGGGTAGGTACTTAGGAATGGATTTGCTGTATGGTAAAATTTTTTTAAAAATATTTATTTTTTGTTGTTGGATACAATACCTGTATTTATTTATTTATTTATTTTTATGTGGTTCTGAGGATCAAACCCAGGGCCTTGCACGTGTGAGGCGAGCAATCTATTGCTGAGCCATAACCCCAGTCCCTGAATGGTAAATTTTTTAACCTTTTAAGAAACGCCAAACTGAATCTGGGGATATGTCTCAGTTAGTGGAGTGCTTGCCTTGCATGCATAAGGCCCTGGGTTCAATTCCCAGCACCACAAAAACAAACAAACAAACCAAAAAACCCTGCCAAACTGTTTTCCAAACAGTTTTAATATTTTACATTCCTGTCAACAGTGAATGAGCATTCTAATTTCTCTGTTCTATGTTCTTTTCAACATTTGTTCACTTATTATTGTCAGTTTTTGGAGTTTTTTGCTTTGTTTTTGTTTTGGTACTAGTTAGTGATTGGCATATGCTAAGCACATGCTCTACCACTGAGCTATATCCCCAGACCTTTTTATTCTTTATTTTGAGACAGGGGTTCACTAAGTTGTTTAGGGCCTTGCTAAATTGCTGAGGCTGGCTTTGAATTTATGATCCTTCTACCTCAGCCTCTTGAGTTGCTAGGATTTTCAGGCATGTGTCACTGTGCCCAGCTATCCCAGTCCTTTTTACTTTTTTTTTTAAATATTTATTTTTTAGTTGTAGTTGGACACAATACTTTATTCATTTATTTATTTTTATGTGGTGCTGAGGATCAAACCCAGGGTCTCGCACATGCAAGGCAAGCGCTCTGCCGCTGACCACATCCCCAGCCGTCTGCAGAACTTTTAAAAATATACACAATGTCTTGGCTCTATCTCAGACCAATCACATCTGAATCTTGGGGTTTGGGACCTTGGCACAGGTATGCAAAACGAAAACCTATCTACTTTAAAAGGTGTTACTATGCAAAAGAATAAGGGACTAGAGGTTCAACCTCCGATCAGAAGCTCTGCCTTCCCCAGCACTAAAAAAGGAGCTCAAGCCGGCCAGCGGTCTCCCCCACACCAAGAGACAAATGGTTTGGAGCATGGGAGACAAGATTCCCTCCAAGAAAGCACATGTGTGGTCCCAGGGTGGACCAGCTTATTGACAGGGCATGATGGTGCCCTCCTGTAATCCCAGAGACTCGGGAGCCTGAGGTAAGAAGATGCAATTTTGAGGCCAACCTGGGGCTATTCTGCAAGATCCTATTTCAAAAAAATTTTTTTTAAATGAGAGGGTTTGGGGTGTAGCTCCACAGTAGAACAAATAACTGGCATGTGTGAGACCCTGAGTTTAATCCCTAGTATGGGGGATGGAAGGGCATGTTGGAAGGGAAAGTGAAGGAGCTTGGAAGTGGGTTGTGTGAAAAAGTCCCAACTTCTCCAGGCATGGTAGTACATGCCGCCTGTAATCCTAGCTACTGGGGAGGCTGAGGCAGGAGGATTGCAGGTTCGAAGCCAGCCTCAACAACTTAGCGAGGCCCTGAGCAACTTAAAGAGACCCTACCTCAAAATAAAAAATAGCACTGAGCCTCCAGGTGGAACGCCTTGTATGGTGGAGCTGGCTGCTTCTGGGTTACCTCCAGCAATGCTGACGTAATGCTAAAACAGTTCATGAGAAGGCAGCAAGTTCCCATGCTCTACAGAAAGATTTTGCGAGCAATTTGCCAGGTTTCAAATGATTCTGATCTCAAGTACCTGAAAGACTGGGCAAGAAGAATTCAAAAGAAACAAAAGTGCCACCAAAGAGCATGCAATCCAGATGATGATTACTCAGGGCACTATGCAGCTAAAGGAGTTAGAAGAAAACACTTGCTTCAGCAAAATCTTAATATAGCATTATTCTGGAGGATCTTCAGTTGAGCCTGGTTGCAATGGACAGCTCAAGGCCAAGTCAAACTGTATGTACAGTACTGAGCAAAACATCCAGACAGACAGGCTGTGTTACAGAGAGCGGAGAAAATCACATCAAAGTAATTGCCTGGGGACTGGAAAATATACTTGAGTTTTGAAAATGAAAACTAATAATAAAAATATAATAAAAAGGACTGAGTGTGACCCATCACACACACACACAATAAAAAAGAAGGAAGGGAGGAAGCTGGGCACGGTGGCGCACACCTGTAATCCCAGTGGCTCAGGAGGCAGAGGCAGGAGGATCGAGAGTTCGAAGCCAGCCTCAGCAATGGTGAGGCTCTAAGCAACTCAGTGGAATCCTGTCTCTAATAAAATACAAAATAGGGCTGGGGTGTGGCTCAGTGGTTGAGTGCCCCTGAGTTCAATCCCTGGTATCCCCCCCCCCCAAAAAAAAAGAAGGAAGGAAGAAAAAGAAGAAGGAAAAGTCCCAGTTCCTGCCTAGCCAGCTAAGATTGCAACGGGGCACTTCCCATGACCTTAGGGGTCGGCCAGGCCCCTGGGGAGATTAGGGAAGAATGACATTCCTGGCTGCAGACCAACTCCAGACAACCCTGAAGAATCGCAGAGAGATGGATGGTGCCACCGGAAGCAGAGAGAGCTTAGAGGCTCAGCTGGGAAGTAGGCCAGGGCCACACAGGCTGCCATAAAATTCCTCTTTTTGAAGAGTCTGTGGAGGATAATAACCATCCATTCTTGAATTCCACAAATGTTTATGGAGCCCTTCCATGTGCCAGACTCGGCTAGGCACTGGACATTCAGCCAGGAGTAAGAATGCCAGGCTCCCTCCCACCCCCGTGGGGCAGCACAATCAATAAACATCTAGGCAGACAGAAGGCAGGCAGTGAGGGGACGGGGCCTCTCATTGGGGTGACATTGGGGTAGAGGTCTGAGTGAACGGAGGAAGCCATCTACGTCAGGTATGTGTTTGAAGATGCACTGGCAGAAGAGCTGGTGGGAAGCCCACGCTGCTCAAACTGGTGTGTTCCGAACCGCGGGATAAGATGGAGCCACAGAGGGAGGGGACAGGAGCTAGGTCACCTAGAATGTCTTGGGGGTCACGACCAGAGATCCAGGTTGAATTTTGTGCACCATGGGGAGCCAATGGAGAGTTTGAAAAGGGTAGAAAAATGTTATGGCTTGCATTTTTTAAAAGATTGCTTTGGTTGATACAGAGAAACTAGCCCTACAGTCGGAACTGTGAGGAGGGGGATGAGGCCAGTTGCCCAGGAGAACAGGACGGTGATCTGGACTCCTGTGGGTGCTCATGGGGACAGGATATGGACGTGGAACATCTTTTGGAGTTAGAGACACCAGGATTTGCTGACATGAAGCACAGGATAAAAGGGGCAAGAATGTTTGACTTGAACGTTCACTGTGTGAAGGGCAGTGCTCTGATCTGGGATGGAGAGACAGAGAGGAACAGCATTTTACACTGGTGGGGGAGGGCTTGCTCAAACATGGAAAAGAGGAGGAAGGCCAAAGGGCTGTGATGTCCTGATTGCCGGCTATGGGTGGGCAGTCCTTGTTACACCAATGCACATGCTATGTTGGCACTCCAGAGACTGTAGTATTAGGGCATCTTGGAAACAGTCAGCGCTGGAAGGTGTTGGCTGCTTCTTGCAACTTTTAGGAAGGCCCTCCAAAAAGGAGACAAGTTTAAGCTAAAGATGGGCCTAACATTATTATCAAAAGAAACAGTCCCACCAGGTGTGGTGGCTCAACGCCTATAATTCCTGTAATTCAGGAGGCTGGGACAGGAGGATCACAAGTTCAAGGCCAGCCTCAGCAGCTTAGTGAGGCCTTGTCTCAAAATAAAATGGGCTGGGGATGTAGCTCAGTAGTAAAGCACCCTGGGTTCAATCTCCAGTGCACCCTCTCCCCGAAAAAGTCCCTACCACTTATCACCTCCTCCCTTCAGTCACTTTGAAATGTCAACTGGTTTATGAAACCCAGCCATCTAGGTGGCACTGTTACAGATGCCCCACCCCTTTCTCCAAACAATCTGAGGCTGGAAAACCCATGCAGGGTGTAAGGAAACCGATGGTTTCCTTAGAGGAACAGAGAGAGACCGGCCCCCATGAGTAAATCAGCGTCAACCAGCAGCTGACACAGGCCTAGAAACGGGAAGATGGGTGGAACCAAGAAAAAAGGAACTCAGAGGGAAAATGAGCTGCTCCAGGTCGACATTCAGGCCAAGACCGAGAGGGCAGGTACCAGTGCAGAAGACCCAGGGCCCGGGAAGCAGCACCTTGTCAGAAACCTCACGGTCCTTGAGTTTCAAACCTGGAAAGTCCTTCAGGGACCAGGTGGCCAGCTCTGTCCCCGGATAAAGGAACTTGTCTTCAAGGAGGAAATGAGAAAGGAGAACACAGGGCCAGGTCTCCTCCTAGCCAACGGTTCTGCCCCGGCTGAACTTACAAAGCCCCAGTCTTTTTTTTTAATATTTATTTTTCAGTTGTACTTGGACACAATATCTTTATTTTATTTATTTTTATGTGGTGCTGAGGACTGAACCCAGGGCCTCGCACGTGCTAGGCGAGCGCTCTACCGCTGAGCCCCAGCCCCCGAGTCTTATATTTCCCCTTTACTCTATTTGGTAACTGTCCAGTCCCCAAGGGGCTTGTTCTGTCCAGCTGTTTACATTGTGGGAACAGATGTAATCAAGTTCTTCCTGGGCTGCTATGTGTCCCCCTCAGGCCTCTCCCTCATTCCGACTGCAGCCCCTGTCACATGTCCTGGGCACACCCAGGATGACCCACACAGACACATGAGCTGCGTGCTCTTGGCCCGGCAGGGTGAACAGCAGGGGTGGTGCCATTTCCTGGGGAGCAGCTTGGCTGGACTGGAGGTTGGGGACAGTTGGAGGGTAGAGGAGCCGATGCAGCTTCTCCAAGCTAGGCGGAGATCCAAAGGAAACACAGCTGGAGACAGGAGAAGCAAGCCAGGTGACCCAGCTGACATCCTGGGCAGAAACCCAGCTTGGCATCCTATGGCCACTGTCACCTGTGCTTACGTACTTGGACCAGGTATTTCTTCCTGCTGCACCTCAGTTTCCCAACCTGCAGAACAGGGGCAATACTAGCTCTCCCCAGGGGTCGATGTGAGCATTAACTGGGGTAATAAACAGAGAAGTTGGGGGAAGCTGGGTGTAGTGGTGCACACCTGTAATCTCGGCGATTTGGGAGAATTTGGGAGGCTAAGAGAGGAGGATCACAAATTCCAGGTCAGTCTGGGCAATTTAGCTGTCTCAAAATAAGAAATAAAAACTCCCTCGGGGGCTGGGGTTGCGGCTCAGTGGTACAGCGCTCACCTAGCACGTCCGAGGCCCTGGGTTCCATCCTCAGCACCACATAAAAATAAATAAAGGTATTGTGTCCAACTACAACTAACAACAACAACAAAAACTTCCTCAAAAAACAAATCAAAGCAAAAACAAAAAACAAGAAAGAGCTGGATGTGGGATTACATACCTGTAATCCCAGTGGCCCAGGAGGCTGAGGCAGGAGGATTGCAAGTTCAAGGCCAGCCTCAGCAATTTAGTGAGGGCCTAAGCAATTTACAAGACCCTGTCTGAAAATAAAATACATTAAAAATGGGGGGTGGGGTGGGTGGATGGGGATTTTGCTCGGTGGTTAAGTGCCCTTGGGCTCAATCCCCCATACAAAAAAAAAAAAAAAAAAAGACACAGAGTGGATAGTTGAGAGCATGGGCTCTGGAGCCAGACCAACTTGAGCTAATTACTTAACCTCTCTGGTCTCAGTTGCCTCATCTGGAATCTGGGGGATGATGATACTTACAGGATGTTACCAGGTGTAAGTGAATTAGGATTTGCCAAATACTTTCTGCTTGTTAACAACTGGCTAAGGCTAATTATCAGAATCGTTAATTGGGCCCTCTGGTACACCATGAAGTAGTTCTAGCACTTTATATGCTTTAATCACATAAAATCCTCACTTCTAGCTGGGTGTGTAGCTCACACCTGCAATCCCAGTGGCTTGGGAGGTTGACGCAGGAGGATTGCAAGTTCAAAGCCAGCCTCAGCAATTTAGGGAGGCCTTCAGCACTTAGTGAAACCCTATCTCTCAATAAAATATAAAAAAGGCTGGGGTTGTGGCTCAGTGTTAATCGCCCCTGGGTTTAATCCATGGTACCAAAAAACAAAACAAAACAAAAAATCCTCACTGCTCCCCAGGACAGATCATCCCCGTTTACAGAGGTGGAAGCTGAAGCTCAGAACAGATTGGCTTTTCTATTTCCTCTAGAACAAGGGCTGGTGAACCAGGGCTGAGCAGGGACTCCAGCCAGCAGCCTGCTGTCTGAACACTCTGGAGTCGGCTTCCGAGACGCAGTGGTGGACTCAACAAAGCCCGAAATACGAACCATCTGGTGCTTTACCGGAAAGCTTTGAAGAAGCAGGACTGGAACCACGTCTGTCTGGACCAAGCACTTAGTGCTTTCCTGCCTGGGTCTCCGTGGTGCGCCGAACTCACTCTAGATGTAGAAAAGCATCTTTCTTTCTTTCTTTCTTTCTTTCTTTCTTTCTTTCTTTCTTTCTTTCTCTCTCTCTCTCTCTTTCTTTCTTTCTTTCGCTGGCCATGTTTTATTTGTCCTTTTTCTTCAAACAGGACAGCCAAGATACAGACGTACAGAGTAAAATAAAATAGATGGACAGATCCTAAGAGACTGCGATGCACAGGCTACATTCAACCTGATTTTATTCATGCTTGCCTTTGGGTGGGGAATAGATCATTCAGTAAAAACATACAGTAAAAACAAACAATGTCTTACCATGTACAACTTTTAAACTACAATAATTATGTACCTTAATTACTTCCTGCGCACAGGTCTAACATTACAGTATTTTTTAAAAAATAAACACAATTAAGACTTCTAGGAGGGCTGGGGATGTGGCTCAAGCGGTAGCGCGCTCGCCTGGCATGCGTGCAGCCCCGGGTTCGATCCTCAGCACCACATACAAACAAAGATGTTGTGTCCGCTGAGAACTAAAAAATAAATATTAAAAAAAAGACTTCTAGGAACATTTTTATCATAAATTAATTCCTAATTTTTCTTTGTAGATAGATCAAGCACCTCCAAAATACAAATTCCTATCCACGGTGAGTACTTTACTTAAAATGTAGGAAAGATTTCTTCCCAGTCCCTCTGAGTGCTGGGAATACTCCTTTCCCTCTTCAGCGGAAGGGATTTGGGGGGATTCTCGTCTGTCATCCTTCAAAGCCAAGAAGTTTGGGGTCAGGGACACAACCAAAGCCCTTCCTCCAACATCACTCTGACCTGTGAGGGCTGAGGACAGTTGTTGTTTGGTGCTGGGATTGAACCCAGAGGGACTTTACCACTGAGCCACATGTCCACTCCTTTTTATTTTTTATTTTTCAGACAAGGTCTTGCTATATTCCTTAGGGCTGAGGCTGGCCTCCAACTTGTAATCCTCCTGCCTCAGCCTTCGGAGTCACTGGGATCACGGGCGCGTACCACTGCAGCTGGCCTGAGGATTTTTTTTTTTTTTTTTTTTATAAATTTTTTTTAAGAGAGAGAGAATTTTTTAATATTTATTTTTTAGTTTTCGGCAGACACAATGTCTTTCTTTGTATGTGGTGCTGAGGATCGAACCCGGGCCGCACGCATGCCAGGCGAGCGCGCTACCGCTTGAGCCACATCCCCAGCCCCTGAGGATGGTTTTGAGAGAAAGGGAAACCCAGGTAATGGAGAGGGGCAGGCTAGTGGGCAGGTCCCTGGAATCAGGGCACCTCTGAAATGGAAAAGAACCAAAGGAATGCCATTTTGCTCTGACCTGCCTCCATTTTATGCTTGCTTAAACTGTCTTCTTTCCAGCCTCCTGACGCTGTATCTGTGCTGACAGTACAGTAGGACCTTCCCGCCCCCTGACTAAGGCCCTGATGTACAACAGAAATGACTCTGAAATGGATAATCAAAACAATTCTCTCATGTTACCAAAATATGTCTCAACAAGGTCTTTTCTGACCTACATCTGGCTCAACTGTCTTTGTGGTTTTTGTGGGTTTTGCCTTTATAAACTCTATACTTTCAAAATTCGGGAGCTGGGAGTTCTGGAAGGCGCTAGCCCGCTCCCAACCGCTTGCCTGGCACACTCATTAAAGGACTTTTCCCCTTTCGATTTGGCTTCGTAAGTGTGGTGGTCTGTCATTCTGCTCGCTGCCTAACACCTTCTCCCCCACCTGCCCGGCTCCAGGCTGTGCGGAGTCCATGGAGCTGAGGCCGACAAGGTGCAGCAGAGGAAAAGAACCCCAGGGTGCTCTAGGTCCTGCCTTCTCCCCAGGGTATTCCAGGGCTCCAAACCAATTCCATCACTGAGCAAATATGCATTCAGCACCTTCTGTGTGCCAGGCGCTGTTCTAAGCACTAGGGATAAAGTGTTGAACAAAATCCCAGCTCTTACAGAGACAGACAAATACACAAGAAAATATTTCAAAACATACCTGTCATCCTAGCGACTTGGGAGGCTGAGGCAAGAGAATTGCAAGTTCAAGGTCGGCCTCAGCAATTTAGCAAAGCCTTAGCAACTTAGCAAGATCCTGTCTCAGATTTAAAATTTAAAAGTGCTTGAGATGTAGCTCAGTGGTAAAGTGCTTCCGGGTTAAATCCCCAGTTATCCCCGCCCACTGCCCAAAGTAGTAAGATCTATAAGGAAAATAAACCAGGCCGACATGATTGAGAGGAACTGCTAGAGAGGCAGGGAGGGACACATCTCTGAAGTAACACCATTAAGCTGAGACCTGAATGACCAGGAACCAGCCTTGGGAAGTTCAAGCAGGAAAGTGTCCCAGGTGTCCCAGGTAGAGGAATGGACACATGCAAAGGCCCTGAGCAAGAAACAGAAAGGCCAGTGTGGCTGAAGCAGAAGGAAGAAGGCTGAGAGGAGAGAGATGAACCAGGAGAGGCCCCATCACATGCCTGGAAGCCAGAGCACAGAGGCAGGAATTTCATCTTCAGTTTGCTAAAAAGCCATGCCCATTAATGCTACAGACTGTGTACCTCGAGTTTTTTTGAGCGCTAAGTACCAACTGCTTTTTTTTTTTTTAAGAGAGAGAGGGGGAGAGAGAGGGGGAGAGAGAGGGGGAGAGAGAATATATATTTTTTTAATATTTATTTTTCAGTTTTCGGTGGACACAACATCTTTATTTTATTTTATGTGATGCTGAGGATCGAACCCAGGGCCCCCTGCATGCCAGGCGAGTGAGTTACCACTTGAGCCACATCTCCAGCCCACCAACTGCTTATTAATCCTTCCAACACAATGATCTATTTAATGCCCACAAGCAATCCGAAAAGGGAGGTGCCCTGATTATCCTCATTTTGTAGATGAGGATACTGCGGCCCAGGGCTGTGGAAACACTGGCCCAGGGACACAAAGCTCTATTGAGTGCTCACAGGAGCTGTTGTAGGGACAACGGGTTACAGGGAACAAGACCCTGTAAGGGATAAAAATGATACAAAGATGGAGCTTGCATTTCAGCAAAGAAAAGAACAGGTAAGTTGGGTGCAGTGGCTGAAGTCTATAGTCCCAGCTCCTTGGGAGGACGAAGCGGAGGATCACTTGAGCTCAGGAGTTCTGGGCCAGCCTTGGCAATAGAGTGAGACCCTGTCTCACAAAATGGGGTGGGGGCCAGGCGCGGTGGCACATACCTGTAATCCCAGCACCTTGGGGGGCTGAAACAGGAGAATTTCGAGTTCAAAGCCAGACTCAGCAAAAGCCAGGCACTAAGCAACTCAGTGAGACCCTGTCTCTAAATAAAACACAAAATAGGGCTGGGGTGTGGCTCAGTGGTTGAGTGCCCCTGAGTTCAATCACTGGCACCCCCCCCCCAAAAAAAAAAAAAACCACCAAAAAACCAAAAGGGGGTTGGGAAATGAATGAGGAAGAAAGAGAGAGACGGAAAGCTAATGCCCACTATGTATCACTAAATTGCTGAGTTTGGCCTTGAAATTGTGATTTTCCTTCCTCAGGCTCCCAAGTTGCTGGGATTACAGGCGAGTGCTACTGAGCCTGACTTTAATGGCTATAAAACCCACCTCCCACTCCCCCATAAACACAGTCACAAAGTTGCTTCAACCTTTCCCACCAAAGAGAGCTCATAAGAGTGACATCACAGGTTGTTAGGAAATTATATAAGTTGGCCGAGATATAGGGTGACCAGCTCTCCTGGTTTACCTGGCACAGAGTGGGTTCCCAAGTCAGTTTTGAAGCCAGCTGGTCATCCTAACTAGATGAGTGCTTGGTGCTAAGACTCCTTCCCCTTTTCTGTTTCATTATTTGACAACAAAAAGGTAGCAGCACCTACTCCTGTCCTAGTTGCTTGGAACCTTGTAGGCAGTAGATGGGAAACAGGGGTACTGTACTAGCGCCAAGGACTCACCAAACCAGGGTCTAAGGAAACAGCAGACCCCCCTCTAGGGTGATTCCGGTCCCCTGAGTGTTGCCTTCCTGGGCTGATACACTTGTTTGGACTTGCTTTCCCAAATGGGAAGGGTCTCTGGGTCCTAAGGCCCCCAGGTCGACTGGGGGACTCCACAGCAAAGCTAGGCCAGGATGGCAAGGCCTAAGAGATAGTTCTTATTGTCACTCATATTTTGCTGGATGAAGAAACTGAGGCTCAGCGACCCAAGTGAAGCGATTTGGCCAAGATCATGCAGGAAGATGGTGCAGGAAGAGATGAGTAATTGGAATTCGATGGCTGTGCTTGAGCAGGCCTGCTCCTGTACTTCCCTCCCTCTTGCGGGGCTTGAGTCCCCCACTTGTCTCGACAGCAACCGAACTTGTCACGGGGCTCGGTTCAACCCTCTCCACCCTCCCGGCTGCCAGCGTCCCGCCCCGTCCCCTCCCAGCCCCCAGGGAGGAGGGGAGTGCTGCAGCGAGGAGGGGGGTCGCGGAGGCCAGGCTTTATAAAGGCGCTGGAAGAGCGCTGCCCGCCAGACCCTGCCGCACCGATCCCGAGCGCAGCCCGCCGCCCCACGTGACCGCGCCGTGTCCCAGCTCCACCGCTTAGTGAGTTGGGGCATGTCCCCATCCCACCCCGGCCCTGGCCGCGAGGTCCTTTGAACCCGGGTTGGGGAGGAAAGCCGACGAAGGAGGGCGCTGAGATGGGGGCACCAGGCAGAATCTCCAATGGAAGAGATTTAGGGCCAGAGGGAACCGGGAGACCTCGGAGCCCGCGGCCCGGCTGGCCATTGCGGCACGGGACCTAGGAGACCCAAACCTCGCTCCAGGAATGCGCGTGCGGTTGTTGCCACGGCAACGGACTAGCCAGAGCCCGCCGGTCTCCAGGGGAAAGGGGAGGTTGTTGGGGGGATGGGGGCTGGTTCCCCGGAGGTCCAAACTCGTCACGCGGCGGTTGCACGAGGGAACTGAGAATGTCCCTTTCCCGGTGCCCCAAATCCTTCGGTAGACAAAGCGTTAGTCTCATGGCCTCTCTGAGCCTCAGTTTCTGCATCTGCCAAATGGAGGCAAGACTATTGGTTCCCAGCTCCCTGGCGAGTTATAAGCGGGTAACGGTCCGGCCCAGTTCCCTCTTATTGGACATCCCAGGAGCGGGTCTTAGCGGCCCAGACGATCCCTGCGACCCCTCCCACCCTCAGGCCCGCTGGCCATGGCCCTCTTCGGGGCCCTCTTCCTAGCGCTGCTGGCAGGCGCCCGCGCGGAGCTCCCGGGCTGCAAGATCCGCGTCACCTCCAAGGCGCTGGAACTGGGTAAGGCGTGGGTGCAGGCGCGGGGGCGGCAGCGGTCGCCGTGGGGGGCGCGGAGCTAAGGGTCTCACTGCTGCCTCAGTGAAGCAGGAAGGGCTGCGCTTTCTGGAGCAAGAGCTGGAGACCATCACTATTCCAGACCTGCGGGGCCAAGAGGGACACTTCTACTACAACATCTCCGAGTAAGTCGGCCGGGGGCGGGGCCTCGGGGCCGGGGCGGGGCCTCGACGGCCAGGGTGCCCTAGGCCTCCGGAGGGGGCGCTGACGGATCAAGGCCGAGGGGACGGGGGGCGTGGCCAAATTGAAAGGGCGGGACTTAAACAGGATGGCCCTAAAGGTAACCGCCAAGACTGCTACCGTCGGCGGGACTAGGAGGTGGGCGTGGTCTAGAGGATGTGGGCGGGACCAAGACGAACCCCGCCGGTGGTTTTGAAGCCTAGCCCCAGTGCCCTGGAAAGGCGGAGAGGAGGCATTTAGCAGTGGAGGAGAGTGAACTCCAGGGCATGGGTTGGAGCTAATGGGAAGGTGACTTAGGAGAGGAGGGATAGGAGAATTGGTGTATGGGCAGAGCTTAGCTGGGGAGGGTGTAGGAGGGGAGGGGGTGCAAGCAACAAGACTTCTAAGAGATGGGGTTAGCCGGCATGGTGGTCCAGCTACTCAGGAGCTAGGAAGGTTGAGGCAGGATTGTTTTAGCTCAAGAGTTACACACCAGCCTGGGCAACAGAGAGGGCGAAAGATGGGTGAAGTTTGCTTTTAACACTTAGGTTAGCAGGAGCTAATCTCTGAGCCACCCAAGTCCAGGCCACCCACCAGCTTGCCCCGCTGGACTGGAAGAGGAGAGAATGACTTTTCTGTGGTTGGGTGGAATCTTCTCTTGGCCCTGGATCTGGATCTGACCCTGAGGCCTCCTACAGGGTGAGGGTCACGGAACTGCAGCTGACGTCCTCTGAGCTCCACTTCCAGCCCGAGCAGGAGCTTACGCTACAAATCACCAACGCCTCCTTGGGGCTGCGCTTTCGGAGACAGCTTCTCTACTGGTTCTTGTGAGGACACTGACCCTCAGCGGGGTGGAGGGAGTGCCAGCTGCACGGGGGTACTGTGGGCCTGAGGGCAACCCCTTACATTTTCCAAGTTTCTCCATCCATACACGAGGAACAATCGTGTCTACTTTGTAAATATCGATAGGAGGGTTTACTAGGATGTCTGGTAAAGTATGAAGAAATGAGGCCTTATCAAGAGGTTCAAGCAGGGCACAGTGCTGCACACCTGTAGTTCTAGCAACTTGGGAGGCTAAGGCAGGAGGATTGAGATTTCTAGGCCTCCTCATCAACTTAGTGAGACCCTGTCTCAAAATTAAAAACAAAACAAAAAAGTTAATGTGGTTATCATGATGGAGGTATGGGGGGTTGGGGG